AAAGAAAAAAAGAAAAAAAAGAAATTAAAAAAGCTATAAGGAAGTGAGATCTAAATGATGCAAAAGCTAAATATAAACCAAAATCCCAAATCTAAACACTCCTCAAGGATAATCAAAGCCAAACTACCCATCATCTCCACCAATATAAGTATATAAAATATAGAAATGGAATTAAAAAATGTGTATATCAATTAGCCCAAAAACTATAGCTTATATACAGGAGCGAGTGGTCCAGATTGAAACCAATCCGATGGCTATCAAAATCCCACTATACTAATATTAATATACAGTATCATAGTTGTATACTTGCACCTCACACAATTAATTTTATAATATATTAGCTCTCTGTAGTTAATATTATCTATATGTGGTTATCATAAGTTGTTACTATGTTACTTTAGATAAAAAGAAACCTTCTTTGAGTTTGTTATGAGTGGTAAATATGCTAGCCCAATTCAAGTATTCCTTTATCATATAGATTGGATTGTGAATGCAAGCTTAAGGTTTAGTTCCCACAGAAAACCTATATACAAAATTTAAATTAAAACTATGATGAATTCAATACAGAAGTTTCACTGCAATAATATCTAAGAATCCTTCCTAAAAACTAAAAAATGGAAGAATGTTGAGATTTAGATGCTTATTATTAGAACTGACAAAAACTTAAATTCCTTTTAACTTAATTAAGAAAAACATAAAAGCCTAAACTCTATAAATAGTTATTTAGTATTTATATTTATGTTTCTTTCTTAATCGTGTTTGATTTTGTGAATCTGTTTTTTATATTAAAATATTCAATTAAAACTGGTTTTATCCCCAATGGTTATGAGCTAATGCATCAAGAGCTACTTATTCATTTTCTAACCCATTTTCTAAATTAGAACTATAATTGTAAACTATATTTTCAATATATAGCTTGTGTTTAGAAAAAAAATATGTTCATAAAATATAAGATTCAAATTATAATTTACAATAGCTAGATAGACTCATCAACTTAGAGTCTAAAATAACAAAAGGAGCCATTACTAACTTGCCACAGGAGTTTGAATTCCTACCTGTTCTAAGTGACTTTTGTTCTCTTTAATTATCTTTTCTCTTTTGAGTTCGTAGGATCAAATTCATGTAAGCAACTAATTAACTAATTTGATATGTTTAGCTTTACAGGTTTTATAGATCTTTTCGGCCTCCCTTAAGGTTTTCCTCTTTGTTTTAGTGGTTGAGACTTTGGCAATGGTCCATCTTAGCTTAATAATCCATTATAGATATTATTAGAGATTCAGACCTTTGCATCCGCAGAAGTTTGCCAAACCTGGACGATATGGATGTAGCCACTATCCTGCCTTTCTTGTGTTCTTATTGTGATGTTTTTGACCTGGAGAACTTCACTCCTAACGAAAGGGAATCACGAAGACTATATGGTGAGGGAGAAGATTCAAAGCCAAAAGTCCAAGAAGTTCAAATCAAGCAAGCTCTTAGAGAACTTGATGAGTAGAGCAAGCACTAGTTTTTAAGAAGGATTCTCAAACATTAATGTAGTGAAACTTTCATGTGAATTCAGAGAGAGTGCACTATAAAAGTTAAACTATTTTAAATGAAAAACTAAGAGCAATAAGTATCAAGAACTTTTTAAATGTTCTTGACAAAAATATAGAAATGATTACTAGCACATAAAATTAGTATTCAATTTCTGATGACAAAATAAAAGTTAAATGGTTCATGCCTCAATGCATTGTAAAATAAATCAAAGCATGTCTTTCAAACATTAAACTAAAAGTAGAGTAATCAAATCAATGGAATATCTTGCTCTACTCATCAAGTTCTCTAAGAGCTTGCTTGATTTGAACTTCTTGGACTTTTGGCTTTGAATCTTCTCCCTCACCATATAGTCTTCGTGATTCCCTTTCGTTAGGAGTGAAGTTCTCCAGGTCAAAAAAATCAAGAAAAGCACCACAATAAGAACACAAGAAAGGCAGGATAGTGGCTACATCCATATCGTCCAGGTTTGGCAGACTTCTGCGGATGCGAAGGCAGACAGCTCCTTTTCCATGTCTGCCAGCCAATGCTTGAGAATGATAATTCCAGCGCTTCTAATCGTGTGAATAGAATACCAAACAAATGTGCTTGGACTTCTGAGACCGATGCCTTCATACACATCTGAAATCAAATGGAATTTGAGGGAATTCCAGGGGGAAGACATGAACATGGATAGTGGGGAGAGAGGAAGTGCCAAAAAGGAGAAAATTGAGTTACTCCTATTCTTTGTGAAGAAGAAGAAGAATATAGGTGCTCCGGAGAGTGGCACATTCGTCATGGGGATGATGCCGATGGCCAACTCCTGTTGAAAAAGGAATCTGTTTAGAATTTTGAGGGGTGTCAATATAACTGGTTATAGTAGTCTCGTGGCCTCCGACCACAACACACACAAGCGAGCATGGCAACTCACTGCTATCGAGACACTAGTGTTTGTGTGAGTGTGCTCTTGTATGCCGGGAGGCTCATCCTTTGCCTTCCTTCCCAGCTTCAAGGATTTCTCTCTCTTCCCTTTTCCCAAAAGCAATAGGGATTGCTTGTTTTGCTACAAGCATGCCACCAACTGGACCTTCTTCTTCGACGTGGAGGAGTACGTAAGCGTCCCCACGCTGGATTCCGTGCTCAATAGCAACCGTACTGGAGTGAGTTGTAGAAAGAGCTTAAGAGTTCCTTTTGATCAACAGTTCTCAAGTAAAATGCTTCTTTTGTTTGTTCTCACCCTTGATTTTCTTTCAGGCAATGGCCGCCAGTGGTGCTCGCAGCACGTACTTTCGATCAAGACGCACAGACTTTTAACTTATTTCTTACAGGAAATGCAGAGCACCGCGAGAATGAAAGTCTTGTACCTTTACGACCATAGCTTGGCTGACAAGGTGAAGGAGTTCCTAGTGTAACTTCCAGGATTCCAACTGAGAGAATTGTTTAGTGCTGATTACAAAGAGAAAAAGCTTGTCCAGGCTTTCAAAAATAACACCATGTAACCAGACTGCTGAGAAATTTTCAGAGGAACGGTTCGTCAGCTATAAGCATTACGATTAAGGAAAAGCGTGTCAAAGTCAACGCTTAGCTTACCGTCATGTGGTATACATACGTATAGTAGAAATACTACAAACCGCCACCGTATCACTTCTCTGGGTATCTGACATAATCTGATGATGATCAACCTGCACTGATCGTGAAATGTATCGTGATGCCTATGGTAGAAGGCAGGGGAAAAGGGATCTTGGTATAGCGTTTTCGTTTTTTATTTCTACTTCTTTCTTCTTCTTGGATGAATTCGATGCTGCGAGCTGCGAAGAAGATCGTCACGGGGTATGGATCTTTCATGCTGATTCTTGTTTCCAATTCTTTTCCAGGCATGGCCGTGGTGCAGGAGTTTGCATCCAGGGAGTGCTTCCTTCAGCCGGCAAAGCTTTCCGATCGACCAGGAGCGCGATCCTAGCTTCCCAGGGGATAGACAAGCACGACGCGCCAGAGATCGGCGCTGTCTGGAGCTTTCCATTTCGAAGTTTTTCCGGCAGTGGTAGCAGCGCCGACAAGAACAAGCTCGTGAGGTACAATGCTTTCATCTCGATTCTTTTTCCGCAATTCTGATCGTTTCGAGAGCTAGCAGTTCTTTCACGCCAATGCAGGACAAGATCAATGGAGAAGAGATCGCGGAGGAGAACACGACCGACGACGGGGCGGAGCGGGGGCCGGCCAGGGAGAGCGCTAAGACTCCCGACGGTTCCAGGTAGATAACTTCTCAATTGGGATTCGTCTTTTATCCTTTTCAATTTCTTCTCGGCCAGGAGCTACGACCGCGTGAACGAGAATGGAGAAGCGTTCGTGAAGCTAGCTGCACAGGTAAGCTTCCTATAGACTATCGATCGAGAAGCTCTTTTCTTTAACTGGTTTCAGGAGTGCTTTAGCAATACTGTGCTCATATGCCTTACGTATAAGCATGGTACGCTGCTGGCTGCCGATGGATCTCTCTTCTTCCAGTCCGAGCAGTGTCTCATCAAGGACGATCACTGTAAGATTTGGAACGTGAACGAGCGCGTGTGGCTTGCGTTTGCCGGCTCGCTCCAGGTAAGGACACTGCTCATCAAATTACAAAAAATGCTTGCAATGTTTCTCGATCCAGGTGAAAGACCGCGCTTCGTCCTTCTTGGTTCGAGATTTCCACCACCTGAGCACTGCTGCGGCCGTAGCACGAGCGTTGGTGGTTTACCTGGACCTTCTGGATATGGAGGACGACTTCAACATCTTCGTTGTGGACGCCAAGGAGCGCTTCATCATCGGCAAGTTCGCAGAAACGGGGCTGGGAATTATGCGAGTTAAAGCTGGAGCAGCGGGATCCGCTGGCAGTACCATCCTGGACTGGCTCAACGAGGAGAACTCGAGCCGAAACATCGAGAACTCCGAGTTCGAGGATGCACTTACACTGTGCCGGGAAGGAATCCAGAAGAGCCACGAGCTTGGCCGGACCAGCCTCAAGTTCTCGTTCATAAAATTGGAGAAGAACGAGGTTGTTTTCAAGTACTAATTCACGATCGCTCGATGTAATTCGCTTGTCTCTGGAAAGAAAGAAACCATAAGAGTAAAAGTAAAGCGGCAGGCCTGGCTTTTGAAGTCTCCTCCTCGAGCTGCGAGTTCTCGTCGGTCGCGTCAACCATGAAAGCTTGTGAGAATACAGGCTTGAGATGGTTAATAGCCAAACCTTGACTCTTCGACATCGAGATCTTCTAAACGAGCTGGCTTCCAAACACCGTCGTCCTCGATCCACTGTCACAGATAATGTTCTCTGACAAATATTTCGAGATCGATCTTACCATTTAAATCCCGTGCAAAAGAAAAAAGAAGGCATGTCTGACGAGTTTCCATCCAAGCCGTCCATTTGCTCTTTATTCTAATCTACCGGTGTTGTTTTGTCAAGAGTATTTAAAAACGACATGAGCTTGTGATGTTTATTTAAATTTATGAACTCTTTACCCAAGCATCCCTTTGATCTGTAGGATCTTTTCAGCGGGATTCAGTCCCTTTGGACAAGCATTAGAGCAATTGCGAATAGTGTGGCATCTTCCAATCTTCATCTCTCCACGGAGGGCCTCCACACGCTCTTTGGTAAAGTCATCGCGGCTATCAGCAATCATTCTAATAAACAGTAAACATTTGGAAAATTTTACTAGGAAAAAGAATGGAATGGTACTTACTTATATGCTTGGAGCAGAATTGCTGGACCAGGGAATGTAGGTGTGTTCCACCAGTAGCTAGGGCAAGAAGTATTACAACAAGCACATAGGATACACTCCCACATCCCGTCCAGTTTTGCTCTCTCCTCTTTGGTTTGCAAGAACTCTTTTTGGCCATCTTCTTTTTGCTTTTTGGTCTTCAACCATGGCTCAATGCTCTTGTATTGCTGATAAAAATAAGTCATGTCCACCACCAGGTCCTTAATCACAAACATATGTGGCAGAGGCAACACCACAGTAGAAGCAATACCATCCTCATCCCTGTCAACTTTTGTTAAGCATGCCAGGCAGTTCTTACCATTGATGTTCATGGCGCAAGAGCCACATACACCTTCGCGACAAGAACGCCTAAACGTGATACTCGAATCATGCTTGTTCTTGATCTCAAACAAAACATCAAGCATCATAACGCAGTTGCTGGTGTCAACCTTGTACTCTTGGAGGTGGGGTGATTTGCCATCTTGGGGATTGTATCTGTACACTTGAAAGGACCGTAAACCATTGCTGGTCAAGCGCTTGCTTCCTAAAACTCGTGAAAGCATCCTTGGTGAAAAGTCATAACCTAAAAGATGGCCTTATTTTTATTGAGTTTAAGCTTTAAGCTATTATCTCAAGCTCTAATGGCAAGCATCCCACTACATTTTGCAGGGGTTTGAGCTGGGAAAATATTCTAAATTATTAATTACTTATGTGTAGTAAATTTTTTAATTTATATTTCAAATTTATTAAACCAAAATGTAATTTGTAGTTTACTTATTTATCTCTATAATATAAAAAATGATAAGATAAATAAATCATAATGATAATAATAATTTTTAAGTTCCAAATATTCTTTTGACATTACAATTAAAACATTTTATTTTCAAACTTCCATTGGTCTTGAGCCAATACTTTGGACCCCCATTCTTCTGGATCCCTCTAGTTTGTGTCCATCAATATGTTGCCTTGAAATCTTTGACAATACCTTTGAAATGGCCCCACCCAGGATCTAGGCCGTGCTGAGGCAAGAGTGCTCCATCTTCTTTGGTTGTGATATAGTAAACCAACTCTATGCATAGAGGTTGACAAGCTAACAATAACCATCTTCACAACAAGTGTTCAGTGTTTCATTGATCTTCAAGATTGCCATGAGAGACCCAATAAAGCAATGGCCACCACAAGTTGTTGGAGATGAGAATAGCGATGGCAACAAGAAGATGAGCCTCTTGAGCTAAGATCTAGCAGGGCAGAAGCTTTGTGTTGATGGTCTTACGAGAAGACCGTGCTCTCAGACATAGCAGTTTTTCTTTGCATAAGTTTGTAGACTTTAAAAAAGTTTTTAACTTGCACTCTTTTCTTGATGATGGCTATAGATGGTGAGATCCAAGTGCGTCATTCTGAGCCAGCCAGGCGAGATCCAGGTGGTGGGGAGTAAGTTTTACGTACCGTTTTCCCTGGAGGAATTTGTGACTGTGTAAGACCAGTCCGGAATCAAGATTGGCACAGTGAAATACACGATTCTAAACGGAACGCAAAAATCCAGCGACGAGGAAATACTGGACAGAGTGTAAGCGCTCTAAGAATCTATCTATCTATCAAGAGATTGATCGCTCCTCCATTCGAGCCTATACTCTTCAAACTCTGTAACCTCGTGATGGACGATGTCTTAGAAGACATCTAGTACGTGACTTCCTTGTCAACTATGTAGGTGGTGATAGTCATTGTGTTCGGTTCCGTCGTTGACGGCCTTGCTAAGAATAGCTTTCTAGGGTAGGAGAAATCACAAAACTCTCAATCCACAGTATGGAGTAAGTGCTCCATACCGTCCAGTGTATAAGATATAAAGAAGAAAAGCTAGTTAGAGAACTCCCTCACCGTTGACTATAATGTCTAATGCCATCTTCTAGAGCTCCATAGATGGTGCTTGCTATACCAGCCCCATGCTGGTTCCAGACAAGCCAGCTATCAGTTAAGCTTGTTGGCCAATCTAAATAGTGGGAATTGGCTCATATTCTAGAGCTGTGGGGCATTCAACCTATAAAACTTTATAACTTAATTTACTATACAACTTGAGTCACCTCTACACCTAATGCCTCTTAGACCATGTACTTGTTCTGATGTTGCTATTGATTTAGAAGAGATATACCATTACCTCTTCCATCCACAGCTACTGCTAAGCCAAGATTAGGAATCTTAAGTTTGTACTTCCCTTCTGTGCTCATAGCAGAGAGTTGCTTTGTTGTGAGGGAATCTTGCAACCTCTTTGCACATTCAAATCCCATGAAAATAAATCTCTCACTAGAAAATGCCATTGAAAAATGTGTTCTATCATCCATCTCAATAATGAAATGTATAATCTCTGAGTATATCTGGGAATATCTCTAGAATCATACCCCAACATTAGAACATTAGCTTCAATAAATTTATTTCATTGAGTTATAACAACTTTGTTGCTCAACAAAATATTAGCAAGGTTATACATGGGGCTGAGATAACAGTTGGCAAAAGGCATTAACGTGGCATTGGTGACATATGTTCTTTTGTGCAAATTTTGCCACAACCACTATAGTAATCATTGGCATTGGAAACAAATAAAAAAGTGAGAGATTGATTAGGTATAGTTTTATAGTCTAGAACTTGCCTTCACAATAGCTAGTGACATATTGGTATGCCATGCAAGCAAGACAAAGGGTGCAATCTTCATTTATTTTCTTAACAATTTTAACTTCTTTTAGATATCCTCTTGTTCCATATATGTTGCTGATGCTAGACATACTACAGCAAGTTACTTCCATTATACTAGGAGGTGAGATAACTCTCACATCAAAACCGTTCCAAACACACATGGAAAAATTTGTCATGGAACTTATTTATATTTCAATACTAAAAAAAATCCATTTCCTTTCAAAAGCCACACTTACAAAATCAAACACTCTGGTTTATGAAGTTCGTCAGTCAGCCACTTGGATTTCAATGCTAGTTTGTTTTTATAAAAAAAATCAACATTGAGGGCTCCTTATGCTTGAACTAGAGAGTTACACAATATCATAATGTATCTTGACATTAGTAGAAGAAAATGTTTGAAAAGACTAATTAACAAATATCTTTCAATACCTGAAATTACATTTTTAGAAATCACATTTACAATACAGTCCCCAATGCATACGTTAGCCTGGCAAAGTCTGAAGTTTGTTCTGGTTGCCAGGCTCCAGTAGGCTTTTAGAGCAGCAGCTAGCATTGGAGCATTGGCCACTTCAGCCAGGAGCTCTAGCACCTGCCTCTGCTCTCCCACTCTTGACATATCCCAGAAGGAGCATTATCCAAAAGATAGAGCCCCAGCGTTTCATCTTGTCGAACACTTTCATGTTTCCCTCAATTAGGAAAAGAAACTCGCGAGAGGTCATGGTAAAAACGTTAAAATCTTCTCAACAAACATTACCTCGAGAGACATAATGTGCACCGACATTGTGCTGGATTTCTCCCGCTAGGCACCATGACACACAGACTTGCAATTCCCTGCTGCATGTCGTCGTAGATGAGGTGAGGGCCGTCGCACACAGATTATTCATAGATCTCATCCTGCCGCTCCTGCTGACTGTTTCCAGTTCTGTTCTTTTGTGGATGAAGCATAACTTCGACGAACACAGTAGGCGACGAAAGACCTTACATGCATAGAGTCACATGCTCTGAAAAAAACACAAAATTGACATCGAGATTAGGGCATAACGTTCCTTCTCTGTTTTATCAGCCGTTAGATTAAAACTAGATCAATGGTGGTTGCGTGAGGAAAGTATAAATTCTTCTTCAACGGTTAGGAATTCTATTCCGATTTAGGGCTTCAATGGAGGACGAAGACTACGTGGAACGGCAGGGCAAGCGGCTAACCAAGCGGCAAAAGCTAATGGAGCACCTCAACAAGCTGCCCGTGAAATCGGTAAGCTCTCCCTGTCTTGTCTAGTCATGGCTCGACATGTGGCTCTGGACAGCTACAAGCCATGATCGCCCAACTGGCTGGAGCGCGCGAGGAGCAACTCTTCGCCATTCCTCCAAGCGACATCAAAGAGGCCGACTTTCGCATGCGCTATGGCTTGATCAAGATCAAGCATTACACGCCCTCGTACGACCGGTGAGGTTTTTAGACAAATCTTTGTTTCTTTTTTTTCAAGTCTCCTTTATAGGTTTGCTGCCGTGGAGATGTCAGGCGAAACTCTTCACTGCGTCAACAGGCTCATCGCCAACGATGTCGCCTACTCGACTGCGTTCCAAGGTGATTGCAAAGGAGAGATGCAGGTCGCACCGATACTGGACAGGATGCTACGGAACCTTGGCCGCTTTACAAGGCCCCGCGAACTTGAAAAGGAGCCGGCTTGCGGCCAATCACCAGACCCGTCATCGCCATCTGACAAAAAAGCGGACTTTGTGCTCCAGTATGAGGCTGACAAGGAAGATCTCAAGTCCCAGGTGGTCCAGGTTGACGAGGAAAACCTTCCCAACTCTCAGTCTTCGGACTCTTCAGCAGATTACCCGCTGATAAAACCTCAGTCCGCGAGCTCTCCGAGGCACCACTCAGATTGTAAGATGTACGTGTACACTAATCGCTACACGCTTCGTGGACTGCGCCTCAAGGTGACGGTGGATTTCAGACGCGACGCGGGCGTCGAGGATCTCTACCGGCCAGCTATGTACACCATACAGGAACTGGTGGAGACAGCGGCGCGTCCGAAGAGCTACAGGCCGCCAGTGACCATCATGGTAAGAATAGTGAGTCACTTGGATCATGAGCGCTGACATATCGTCTTCTAGGCCGGTGACAAGAATGACTGGTATTACGGAATCCTGGAAATAGATGGTTTTGTTTGGGTGGAGAACCATCAGATTGATCAGGCCAGCTTGCAAGGTAAATGACTGCATAAACGGCTGCCCGTCTAACTATTTGTGGTCGTGTACGCAGAGTTCCCAGAAGAAAAGATGGAGGTGAATCCGAAGAAATTCACTCCAAGCTTCACCCGCGCCGAATTACAGAACAACTTCGAAGCGTGGAAGAAGGACTTGGCTAAGATCGAGATGAGAATCCCCAATGGTCTTCACCCGGTTGGCCGCTTCTTCATCAGGTAAGAGCCGCGTTCCCAAGCGCTTTGGTATTGACAGACTTGCAGGACGGTGCAAGGGTATAACAAGATGCCTACCCTTGGCGGTGAAGCGGAGCTTGCCAGGGGGCAAAAGAGGTTCTACGATGGCATGCTCAAGACTCTTGTTGGTCGTCAAGTCACCAACTGGAGTCCCCAGGATGCGCTCAATGCGTGGAACGCACGCAAGTGCCTCCTCGAGATCACTTAGGTGCTCCAGCCGACGGTAAACACTAGAGTTTTCAGGTTTTCCAATTTTTGATGGAAGTATATGTAAAAATCTTTTTGCTACTATCTGATGGAATATAGTTTGCTACCTTGGTTCAACATGCCATACACATATAACATAGGACTCTTGAAAACCTCGATCTTCTCTCTACTCACCTAAAATTGGACAATCCAGAAACTGCATGTCGAAATGCCAGGCCTGCGCTGCCATAGAGATGAGCATGTAGCAAGCCGAGTCACTAGAACCACTGTCCGACTCCACAAAGCGATCAAACACGGCTTTTCCCACCTCTGCATTGTTCCAGTTGCAGCAAGCGGCCAACAGCGTCGACCATGTCACTCCGGATCCACTGGCGGTGAAAGGCATGCTCTCCACCAGCAGCATTGCCTCCTCCAGACGGTTGGTTCGTCCCAGCGTGTTGATCATACAGTGGTAGTGCTGTCCGCTATGCTTTCACCGCATACCAGCGCCTCAAACTGAGACTTGGCCCTCTCCACCAGTGCCGAGTGGCTATTTTTGGTCTTCCTTTGTAAAATTCTAGAGAATGAATGAATAAAATAGTGTTTTAAATTATTTATATATTTTTAAGTTGATGTGTGGTACTCAATGGCTGAAATGTTAAAATATCAAATGTCAAAATATATAATAAATTCGTTAGAAGCTTAGTATTTTCATTTTTATTTGGGCCCAAAAAAGCTCCTTTATACTAGAACATTGTGAATGTAGAAATAACAATTATATATGTTTGAATAAACTTTTAATTTTAGAAACTATTTATATAGCAGGCATTAGAAAATAGAAGTTTTCTCCATGAACAGTATAAAAAATATAAACTTCCCTCAACCATTAATAATTAAATTCATGAATTTTAAGTTCACCAAAGAATAACATTTTTCTAATATAGAATTTCTTTGTAAAACTTATGGTTAACTACATTGACTAACATTGACTTGAGTTGAGTTGAGCTCAACTTAATTCTTTACCATCCCCTTCTTTTATATTATACCTAAAGTGTTATCTTCTTGTTAGATAAATATATGATTCAATAATGTGAGTTTAGTTTTGGGTTTCATAAAGGCAAGTTGAAAAGTGGTTGTTCATTGTTTTATGACTAATGATTGGTTGTAAATTTAATCAAGGATTGTTAATACTTTTATTAGCTTAATGATAATTTAGTGGTGATAGACTTGCTTACTAAATAGATTCTACCTCCTTCAGTATTATGTGGTTGTATTTAGTTTATGGTGTTAGATTGTATTGAGTTTTAGACATAGTTAATAAAGTGTTATTTGTAACTGGGTATTGATGAAAAATTAGTTTTATATATTAAATAAGGTATCATCAATATTGGTTAACTTAATTATTAAAGAGATTTAAGTGGTGTTTGCTCCTGCTTTCTTTTAACTTTACTCTAATATTGATGACATGTAGATGATGCATTAACATTAATATTGTTAGTGTTAGAATTGGAATGAGATGAGATGTTTTTTTAGGGCTTATTAAGGAAGTTGAATTTTCCATCTACAATTATTTAAGTCGTTAGTTGTCGATTAAGCCTTAGAAATTGACATTTAATTTTGCTAATCTTGGTGATAATGATGTTGATGATCTTACATTTGTGTTATTGGCATTCATGCAATTACTAATTGGCAACTATATTAGTATTCAAATGACAACTTGATTTTAAACGAGGTTATTTAGTAGAGGTGGTTTTTCTTTGAAAAGTGGTTTAATCATAGTTTATGCTAACTTTGCAAAAAGAGTTAATGATTGATATTAGAATTATTGGATCTTTGTTGGATTTGATTTTAAAAATATCAATCATTGATGATTTTTATTATTAATTATTATTGAAATGAAATAATTTTAATGTGGAATATGGGTTCACAAAAGATCAGTTTAATGATCAATTGTTGAACATAACTTTATTACAGTTAGTTTTTTGGATTGATATATAAATCATTTTCATTAACTTTCACATTATGAAGCTTTGGTTTATAAATATGTTGAAAAGAACATTATGTTGTTACATTATAAATTGTTTTTATGCATTGAAATTAATTGCTGTGAGATTAGTGATCATTATTATATATGACTTAATTATAGATTTTGTTCAGCTTTTGGTTTTTTTAATTCTCATGCTTATTATTCCATTTGTTAAAAGTTAATAAAAACCAATTTTGGCTCATTAATTTTAATTATTTATCCTTTTTAGAGGTCAATGTTTTTAATTTTATGGAGGTTTAGGGCTTTTCGATGGCGCGATCGATCGTCAGGGGCGGCACCAGGCCGATCGAAGAGCCGCTGGAGGCTGCGATCGATCGCATTTGCAGCAGCAGAGAGGCGGGCAGTACCGCAATCTATATCCCGCTGCTTCGGCGCTGCCTGGAGCAGCGCGCGCTGCCCCAGGGCAGGCGATTGCACGCGCACCTCCTGGAATCCGGATTCCTCGAGCGCAGCGCCGCCGATCCCATCGTCGCCAGCTACCTGGTGAAGATGTATGGCAGATGCGGCAGCGTGGCGGATGCCGAGGCGGCATTCCGCGCCTGCGATCCAGTGCGCACGCCCTACACCTGGAACAACATGCTCTCGGCGTACCTGGGCAACCATCTCCCGCGCGAGGCGCTGGAGATCGGCAAGAGGATGGATCTCGAGGGCGTCCCCAGGAGCGCCTCCAATCTGGTAAGCTCCATCTCTGCCTGCGCTCGCCTTGGCTCAGCGTTTCTTTCGCAAGGCAGGGAACTCCACGAGCGCTATTGCCAGTGGTGGCGGCGAGGAGGTGGAGGAGAGGTGGCGGTGGCGGTGGCGGGCGAGGAGGACGATCTGGTGGCCACCGCGCTGGTGGACATGTATTCAAAGTGTGGGAGCTTGGACGATGCTAGGCGCGTCTTCGACGACTACTCGGTGGATTCCAAGAGGATGGCGCTGTGGACGGCCATGGTCTCCGGGTATGCGCTCCATGGGCATAGCCGCCAAGCGCTCGAGCTCTACCAGCGCTTTCTCTCCGTATCCAGCGAGCCCCCGGACACTGTGATGCTGCTCAGTGCCATCACCGCCTGCTCCAGCGCAGAGTTTCTCGACGATGGGAGAGCCATCCACGCGCAAATCTCTTCCCGGGAACTGGATCACCACACCCACCTGGGGAACGGGCTTGTCAACATGTATGGGCGATGCAAGGAGCTCCACAGGGCGCGGAAGGCCTTCGAGAAGATCACTGCCAAGAACTTGGTGTCGTGGAACGTGATCATCGGGGCGTATGCCCAGGAGGGGCATCGCGGCCACGCTATGGAGCTCTTCCAGCGGATGGATCCCGAGGGGGTCGCGGCCGACGCCGTCACCTTTCTCCACGTCCTCGATGCTTGCGGCGGCGTGGAGGCGGCGGGGGACGTCCGGAGGATCCACAAGAAGCTGGAGCTCTCGGGCTTGGAGTGGGACGTGTTCGTCGCCTCGTCGCTCGTCAACGCCTATGGGAAGTGCGGCTGCCTCGCCGAGGCGAAGAGGGTCTTCGACACCATGCCGCTCAAGAACACGGTGACCATGACGTCGATGCTCGCGGCCTACGCACAGCACGGCCTCGGCGAGGAAGCTCTTGAGATCTACAGGGAGATGGAGTCGCAGGGGAGGAAGGCCGACCGGGTGACTTTCATCAGTGCTCTCGACGCTTGCTCCAGCATCGGGGCTCTCAGCCAGGGACGAGCGATCCACAGCCGGCTGCTCGTGAGTGGGATCATCCAGCAGCCAGACGTGGTGCTGGGGACGGCGCTGCTCAACATGTATGGGAGGTGTGGAGTGCTCGACGCTGCAAAGTCGCTCTTTGATGGGATGGCGGACAAGAACACGATCACTTGGAACGCGCTCATGGGGTCGTATGCTCAGTGGGGGTATGGCAAGGAGGCGCTCAACCTCTACCACTCCATGGACGCGCAGCCAAACTCTCTGACGTTCCTGGCGATGCTCACGGCTTGCTCGACGGTGGGAGCGCTGCTCCAGGGCCGAGCTGCGCACGCAAGGCTGGCTCCGGCCGGGTTTGAGAAGGAAGTGGAGGTCGGGGTCGCGCTGGTAAACATGTATGGCAAGTGTGGCAGCCTCGAGGACGCGCTGGGAACGTTTGCGAAGCTGGAGAGGAAGACGGTGGTGACTTGGACGGTGGCAATGCTGGCGCTGGCTCACCACGGCGAGTTTCGAGAGACGCTGCGGTTGTTCACGGAGATGGAGCTGGACGGGGTGGCGCCGGACAGTGTCGCGCTGCTGGCGGCGCTCTTCGCTTGCAGCCACAGTGGAAAACTCAAGGAAGGGAGGAGCTACTTCACCAACATGATCCAGGACTACGGCGTGAGTCCGACGCTGGCGCACTACGACTGCGTGGTGGATCTGCTGTGCCGGACGGGGCTGCTGGGCCGGGCCGAGGAGCTCATCGACAGCATGCCGTTCGAGCCGAGCGCCGTGACTTGGACGACGCTCCTGGCGGCGTGCCGGACTCACTCGACCCTCTACGACAAAGCAAAGGTGGCGGCGGACAAGGCTCTAGAAACGGAGCCTCACAACGCCGGGATCTACTTCGCGCTCTCGTACATGTACTCGGGCGTCCGGACTTACAGGCAGGAGCGGCTCAACGTCTCGGACAAGCTCAACTCGATCCAGCGCCAGGTCGGGCGGTGCTTCATCGAGACGAGGAACCAGATCCACGAGATCGTGGCGGGGGAGACGGCGGCGCATCCTTACGCGGCCGCCGTTGACGAGGAGCTCCACCGGCTAAACATCGAGCTGACCATCGAGCGGGGATGCAAGGTGGAGGAGAAGAACCACAGCGCCAAGAGGGCCGTGGTGCTGGGGCTGGTGAGCACGCTGCCCGGCACCACCATCCGAGTGGTCAAGAACCTCAAGCTGTGCGCCGACTGCCACCACGCGATCAAGCTCTTCTCCAAGATCCGCGGCAGGAGGATAATCGTAAGGGACTACGTTGAGTTCCACCACATCGAGAAGGGCGTGTGCTCGTGCGACGGAAGGAAGCCGGCGCTCGGCCTGGGGCTGGATTGCTTGGTCGCTCCTCCGACTCACATACCGGGAACTCTTTGGTGATTTAACGTTGCATGGGCTTTCTTGCAGCAGTTTCCAGCTCATGTAGAAAAGGTGGTGGCTGGCGTTCAAAAGAAGAGGAAGCAAAATACAATATCAAAGGCAACGGAGGCTTATCGCATCCTAAAGTGTTGCCTCCGAGACGCTTGGCTGCGCTTGCCATTGAAAGTATACTCGACGACAATGTCCACGTCTCGAGGATTGCGGGCGTTTGGAGCCACCGACATCTTCCCGGTAAGCGCCTCTCCCTCGCAAATCGTGATCACGTCTTCCAGATACAAGACGGTTTGCTTCCAGTGCGTTGGACGAGAACGAGGCCCTGTTACAAGAAATCCAAGCCGTGAGAAGACTCCAATTCAGGCAAAGTGAAGGGCGTTTTACCTGTGGAGAATCCCACCACCTTGTGGCACTTTGTAAAGGAGACGTCGAAGTATGCTACCAGCGCATGGATAAAATCGTTTCGGGTGGCAACGAGCTTGAACGGAGCCGAGAAGGACACATCCCCGGGTGTCATGTTGCTAATATCCATTGTCTGCAAGGTTTTTTAAAAGAAAATCAGTCTTTCAAGCTCAGCAAACAAAGAAATTAAAACGATAGAAGAATATGAGAGAAACAAATAGAAGATATGAAGCAAAGAAATCCAAACCATAGACAAAGAAACTGAAGATATGATGGAAGGATATGAGGATATATGAAGCTGAGATGACAAACAAGAAAGAACGAGAGGTAAAGAAAGAAAGCTCTGACCTTGATCAGCTGCGTCTGTGTGACGATCTGGTTTGGCTCGACCGTGTCAACCAGAGGCTCCAGCATCGCTTGTTTCTTGATGCAGCTCATGTCAAATCCATAGACCGAGCTCCAGACTGAAATGGCTGCGTTAGACAAGCTAGACGCCATGTAAAAGTAAACTACCAACAGTTTATTTTCTCGTGCTTGTAGTCTGCGTCTTCGATCGCTGTCAAGTGCAAGCTTGTTCTGTCCGGAAGAACCACGCCGCCGGGCACCTGGGAGAATCGAGAATTCATTACGATGGAAACAAGAGAGAACTGGACAACTTACGAGCCATTTGTCACGGGCATACAGGACAGTGTCGAGCATGTTTTCGAAGAGAAGGAAATATCCCATCCATTCGGAGATGATCACGTCTACTTGCTGAACAGGGAGCTCGATCTCTTCCACCTTGCCTTTGAGGACAGTAATCACTGCACACCACATAGAGGAAGTTGAGCTTCTAAAACACGCATTGTTTGGTTCGCGCTTACCATCACTATATCCATTCTTTTGTATGATTTCTTTCGCGGTATTGGCCATTAGCGAGCATTCCACCTGCAAGAGGCGAGGAGCAATCCATCTAGAGGAACAGAAATAAGAGAAGAAACCATACCGCATAGACATGCTTTGCTCCACCCTTCGCACAAAACAAGGAGAGAATTCCCGTCCCGGCACCGACATCTAGAACTACCTTGTCCTTGAAGAGGAATCCATTTTCATAAATAACGTTCTGGTAAGTCTTCGTTCTCACAGTATCTTTAAGCATTTCCTGCAAGCAAGCACCAAAGAGAAAAACAATAATGTGGCTGAGACAATCGCTTGTTTCTGGCACTTACTTCGTGAATACCTGCAAACAAACACAAAATCAGCCTCTCCACGCCACAAGCCCGCGACTGCTTACCGAAATGCGCATAAGAATCGAAGTAATAATCCGCGCTGGTGGGATCGACCTCGTGCTCCTCGGGGAGGATTTCCTCCATCGGCTTCTTCAGCGCCACGAGATCCATGGGCTCCGCCTCCTCCTCCTGGGCCGCCACGCCTGGCGCCGCCCCCTTCTTTGGCCTCCTACGCCCCATGGCGCCTAAAGCCCTAAACCCTAGGTCTACCCAAGAACCCTAAAAGGCGAAAGGGGCAAGAGGAAGGAAAAAAAATTTCTTCATTCTTTTTCATGAGAGAACGCTGTTTGCTCCTTCCCACGTAATTGGCAAGGGATGAGCCTCTGTATTGAAGACGAAGTAGCTGAGCGGCAAAACATCGTCCTCCCCGAACAAAAGGAACAAGTACTTGAGCGTTTCTCCCAGGAAGAACGTCTCCATCTTGTCTCGCTTGTAAGAATTCGCGACCGTGACATCGTCGATGCTGCTGTAGCCACCGGTGCTGATCTTGGTGTGAGCTTCGAAGGCTTGGAAGATCTTCCATCCCCATTCCCTGTACCTGGAAGTAAGCAAAGAGTGAGAGAGAAGCTCTTGAGACGCTCCAAAGGAAGAAAAACTTACATCGAGTCGCCAGTTATCCTATACAATACAAAAAGAGACTCCACCGTCTCGGGGCGAAGAAGGTTGTGACGATCCAGAGGCTTGATGATGATGTCCTCTTTGTATTGAGCGTTAGGCTTGCCGCCATCCATGCCTTCCGTGTGATCGCCCTGTTCCAAGCCGGTGTTAAACTCTTCGAGGACAGCGAAGAAAAGAAGAGGATGAAGGCTTGGCAGACTTTACCTCAGTTCTAAAGTAAGCTATCTCGGGAGCTAGTCCGGTAGTAGTCACGTTGTACATCTCGTAGCAAGTTCTAGCTAGCTCTTTCGCAAGGGCCAGATCCTGCACGTCCTTCTCGCTCAAGAATCCGGACTCCTTGGCATCCTTCTCGGGAAATCCTCGAGTTGCTCCTAGAGCAAGATTTCCGGCTAGAAAGCATACCTTGCACAAGGAGAAGCAGAATCAGTCTCAAAAGTAAACAAGACAGCGCTATATGCGAAACGTAAACGTACCAAGTGATCCATTTTCGGACTGAAATCTTCGTTTCTTCCACTCGGAAGCTCGCCTATGAAAGTGAGGCCATTTGGTACTGACTTCGCGACCAAAAGGTGCTTGACCCCCGCCATTGCTTCGTCGTACATATCTCGAAGATATTGGACATCCTGTCCATCGCCAACGCCTCCCTGTTGGATCCAGACCTTGAGCAGATATTCGTAGTAGCTGTCCCCTCTCGAGCCGAGTCTTATGTTGTTCCCTTGAAACGTTCCAGAATGCGGGCTGCAAAGAGCAAACACTCACCTTATTAGTAACTGAGAGAGAGAGAGAGAGAGAGAGAGAAAGAGAAGCTTACTTACTTCATGTAAATAGGAACCAGCCCCTCGAGCTTAGGGAGTCCCTTGATGTGCTCGAAGACGCGCATTGCAGCCTTTCCATACTTGGGATCACCTGTGACTTTACTCAAGTACCAAAACTCGAGCTGCAAAGTCGTCACCTCCGACGTGCTGCTCGCTCCACGCTCACCGGCAGCCGGATGAGCGCTTCTCGCCGACAAAACCACGTCCGAGAATGGAATCGCCGACGGACTCGCCTCAAAAGCGGCCATCAGCCGGTCTCCCAAGTCCTTCGCTAGCTTCAGATAGACCTCGGGCTTCGGTCCGGGCGAGAGAGCAACTCCATTCTTACTCCCGTCTATACCAGGCACCGAAGTGTCACCTCCGCTTAGATGGTACGCACTCAAAAGTCCTCCGAGCACTCGTATGGTTGTCTCAAACAAGTTTACCTGTCCCTGGTGGCTAAACCTGTTCGCGAGCTCCTTTTCTATCCATCCCCCGGCCTCTTCTACTACGTCGTCTAGTCCCATGATCATAGCGGTGTCTAAAGCGTCGATCGCGGTGGCTCCAATCCCTCCTAAACCATTTATACCTCTTCTACTCACTGGCTGCAACTCGTCGAATCCCAAAGCGAACTGCTTGTAACCATTCCACGCGTGCTTGAAAGCGTCGACCACGGCAGCTTGGCGTTTTATCCACACGAGCTCCTCGGGGCTGTTTCTTTCCGCGATAAATGGCAGCTTCACCTCGTTCTCTTGATGGTTGCTAGAGTTGCCGGAGCTACTGACTTGTCGAAGCAGGCCGAGCCGGAGCTTTGGTGGTAAGTTCGGGAGCCTGTGTGTGCTCCAAAACTTTTTGAGGAAAGGACTGTCCTTCATCCACCTGTGGCCATTGTATCCCCCTAGATTCCGCAGCAAACTCTTGTTGTTTGTGTGACCGGATTGATCCGGCTGGAGGAATGCAAGGTACCCGAGACCCATCAACATGAGCAGTGCGAGTAATTGTCCTAGCCCGCATGACGAGCAGCACCTCCTTCGTACTCCACTTGAGAAGAGAGCTCGTACTACCACCTGAAAGAAAACCAAACACATCGATAAAAACAATAAATGAGAAACAAAATGGCTAGGAAAAAATGACACACAAACGTTGAGAGCTCGAGAGAAAAAATCTACAGTGAAAAGAAAAGAGCAAAAACCAAAGCACACTTATATAAAGAGGAAACAAACAAACTCGAAGGATCGAGAGGGAAAAAAAAACAGTCAATGGAAGGCCGGAGAGAGATCAAAACCTAGCCCTACAATGCTGGATTGAAGAAGCGCGACGCATTCTCTCACGGATCGGGCCCAATTGCCACTGATGCTTCCAAATCCCGGAGATTTCGATCCATTTCAATCGTCGGCAGCTCAGGGCACGACAAATCGAGCTAGATCCAGCGGGAGAGCAAGAAAACGTACCCGAATGGCCGAGCGCCGCCTAAGCTTGGCATTGTCATATTGTAGATCGCGATTGGTGGAAGGGAGCAGCGCCATATCGTAGCTCCTCCTGGAGGGCGCTCATCAAGCAGGGCAAAACACGCTATGACATTGTAGAGCCGACGTGTCACGAAGCTATTGGCTAAATATATAAACAACTTCCTCATAAAGAGAATTACGAAACCACTAACATTTTAAAACTTACTATATTTATCTATAAAGTATTTTGGAATTATTAGTATTATCTTCATATTACAGTAAATCACATTAGTTATGCCTAATCAATCTCTACTTGGTTTTGAAGTCAGGTGAAGATGTCCAGGCCAATTTAATTGAGAATAACTTTTTAGTGCTCTAAAATTAAAATCACAATTTACACATAGGTTTTTAATTTTACTTGAAGGTTCTATATATGATCACATAAAAAGTAAAAATAGAGTAATTTACAACTTAAAGCTAAATTCTTAATGGGTATATAAGTTCTGGTAGATAATATTGGTGAGGATAAAACTTTATTAAAATATTTCAGTAAGACATAGTTAAGAAAATAACTTTTTGAAATTTACCCTTTTATCAGCTGCCATTGATTGGATCTAGCAACCTCAGCAACTCTTCCTTATTATTATAGATATGCATGTAAATATATATAAATACATTAATTTTAATAATTTAGTATATGAACATATGATTTGGATTGAATCTAGACCACCCAATATTCATAATATACTTTTTTTAATTAAAAAAAATTGTAATTTTTTATTACTCAAATAAAAGTCTTTGTAATTATATTTGCAGTATTACTCTATTATAGATCTAGGGTGATCTAGTACATTAAGTCATATTTTGTATGAATACAAAAAGTAATAGTTCATTTCATCCAAAAAAATTATAATAGCAAAATTACATATTGAATGATAGTTATAACTGATATCTACTTATATAAAGTTGACAAAATTCAATCCAAAATGAACTCAAACTCAGTTTAGGTATATCACCCACTATTTCCTAATCTTAAAGTTTAGAGGCTTGGGATTGTAATATTAAATGAATCTTAGTCCTTTATTAATATAAATAATTAAGAATATTTCTATATCAATAATAATTTAATTTTAAGTAAGCTGTATATAATATCAAAATAATTTGGTATCCATTGCATACAATAACACTTGATTTGCCTAATAGTAGTCTCAATCCTATTTAATATTATTTATTAACCCAATTAATTAATATGTGATTCAATTAAGAATTTTGAAAGTTTTACTAGAAGAGAAGTAGATATGAAGCTAAATGAATATATATCACACAGCTATGGGCATAAAGACAAGCCATTTATTTTTAATAATTATATTTTGGAATGAAGTTTGGTGAATTTTCCAAAATTTGCATTTGATTGATGAATCTGTATTATGTTTAACAATGAACTTTTTGAGTAAGCATGTAATTGCATTTCTAAGTAATTGAACAGTTTCCTTGTAATAACCATATTGTGAGTCTTTATTTTTATGGTGTAACTTTACTCTTTCACACTTTAAAGTGTTAAAGCATTATTTATAAAGCTCATCTTTTAAGCCCAAAAATGTTTATTGTATTTAGCTTGAAAGGCTATAATCATAAACATATTTATAATTTATAAATTAAAGATTAATTTTATTACATATCAACCATTAGATGGTAGAATAAAATAGAATATATGAAAAAGTGTTTTAGTGTTTTATAAAATGTAAATACAAGATTAATCTAAATGAATAATAACCATTAGATGGTAGAATATCCCAAAATATTCAAGCGTATTTTAAGTATATCCACTATCACTAAAAATATTACATTATAAAATTAAAATAAAAATATGATAAAATAAAATAACAAACATAGATCATTAATTAATATAAATGTAATTTATTTCTATTATTAATTAATATAAATTTTATAAAGTATAATTTGTAAACTACTATGTATTTAACTGTTTTAAATACAACAGTAAATAATAACACTTTCAAGAATGTTTATAACAAATATTGAAAAAAAAACAGGACCATTTCGTAATTCAGCCCAAATTCACAAAGCCTCAAGGGAATAAGTAAAATACTTAGCTTAATCTTACCATAGTGTTTGCAGAACACTAGTTATTTCACTCCACGACAATTCCTTCATTCGTCGCCTCCATAAACTGTCCTCACCATTTGTTTTCTCGCTGCCAATACTTGTCTTGCCTCCAACTCTTTTCTCTCTTTAATCGCCTTCGACTCTTCCCTCGTCCGCAGCTTCCCTCTGGGAGCTTTCCCGGGTATCAACGGTCTACCCTTTACAGACTTTGCAGCCTCAGCAAACTCTGTACCAAAAACCACAAACGCTTTCAGGAACAAGTAAAACGAAGACGCATTACACAAACCTTCCAGAGGATGATTATCCTTCCATTCCTGCTCTGGTAGCTTCCAGGAGATGGGAGCAAACTCCACCAGCATCTGCTGGCGGCTTTTGAGAACCATAATCATATCCGTCTCACCTAAAATACATATGCAGCTAGCGAATGATAAAAAAGAGTAGTATAACTACAAACTCACCCTCAAGGTAGCTCTTGTACTTTGATTTCCCCAGTTCCTCCAGCACCTTTGCAATGGGCGCGAGCTCCACTTCCCTGCCCTTACTCGTCCTCACCCCTCCTTTATGGTATCGCCCAAGCTGAGGAGCCACCACAACTCCAGCAAGGTATCCGCAAGAAAGGAAAACTGGAGCTCCCCGCTCGGTGACAGTCGAACACGGCATCATCACCCCTTCGCCAACTACGACGCCCATGATGAGATCCGGCCACACCGAGTAGCTGCTCACTGTGACCACATACTTCAACTCGCAACGCCATTTCTCCGCACACATGCAGGTGTCGAAGCTTAGATTGAGGGAGCCATCAACTGGCTCCAGGCACGCCACCGAATCGTTGTAAGTAGCACTGATCTTGCACTCGAACCACGGGGCATCCCGAAACTTGACCATGATGGCGTCGTCGGCACCTTTGCTGCTGTTGGACGCTGGCACAACGCAGCCCAGCGCTGTCCAGCAGGTGCCATTCGGCCTGATGAGAGTCGCCATCCCCGTGCGGCTCTCAATGCTCGGCGGCTGCGGCGATTGGCGAGAGACGAGGTGCACCGCGCCAATCATGCTCCCCACCTTTTCTTGCAGAAGAGGCGCGTTCGCCACAGTTGGCGGTGAATTGCCCATAAGCTTCAGGACGTACTTGTGAACTCTCTTGTGCTGGTACAACTCCTCCTTCATGGCGTAACTTTTCGCTGCATTCATCCGCCTGCGACGGTCGAGTTCCTGTTTCCTGGCTTCCACTTCGGCAAGCGCTTTGCCCACTTTCGTTTCGTGAAATGTGTCCGAGGCTTCAAAGAGGGAATCGCGGCGGCGCTTGCCAGTGATGACAAGAGGGGTTTGCTGCGAGAGGCCGTCGCCCAGCTGCGAGTGACTGAGCTGCGAGGAGAGCAACGAGGTGATCTGATCCAGGGACAAGACCGAGTTGCCCTCGGCGTCCTTGAGCAGCGCCAAGTCAGCGGCACGGAGCGTGCACGGGTCCAGCCCCCAGTGCGCTGCGATGCCATCCAGCATGAGGTGCTTGGATTTGTGCAGAGGGAAGAGCAGTGCCTTCCCACCCCCGTCCTCCTCTAGCCCGATCCACGCCGCCTCCATACCTCTTATCCGGCTTTCAATTTTAGGGTTTCTTATTTTTCTTTTGCCATCTTTGTGTGTTCACGGGGTCCGAGCTGTCAGGTAACATATCTTCCAAATTCGTATCTCCTATCTTGTGTGCGACGCAGGCTTGAACCCTTTTGCTTGGGCTCTCGTATAGAAATCATATGAATGTTGCTGTGAGGTGGGCAGGAGCATTCTTCTCTTCTCTTTCTTCTAAGAAACTTATGTTTTTGGCCGGGAATTAATGTTGCTACTGACGATCAAGCCAGCGTTCTGGTGAGCGGCCATTTTGATTGTCGTGCGTTGGAAAGTCTTTTCTTGTTTCGTAAATATATCTATGTCGTGGTCGCAGGGAGAGAAAAGAAAATGCTTATGTGCCGTTCTCACTGTATCAGAATGACCGCTTTGACGCCCGGAGCAACGTGTTGGGCAAGCATACGAGCTGACAACCTGCACAAAACAACGTCACTGAGTGCAGATACAACCGAAAACCTTTGAAACGTTTTTTCAACATCTTGAGTGAGCATACAAAATATTTGGAAGTGCGTTCAGTATAGCATCTGCATTCTCACCTATAACACCTGTACGACTGCATAGTCAAGACAGCAGCACACAAGAAGCTTTTTTAGTTTCGTGAAACGAATCCAACAACGTCACGCAGATTACCTGCAAAAGCAGCCAATTGGAACACAAAAGAAAAAACCACTAAGACTGAACTCACCCTTGCTATGTGCTCAGAGAACTCAGGAACACTCTCCACTGAGCATTGACAAATTATCGCACTGAGCAAGTTGATTAAACTTAGACGTATCTCTTCGGAATGTTCAAGCACTGGAAGTTGCCCTGTCACAAAGTTTTCCAGATCCAAACAAAGGGAAAGCCGCTCAGCTATTGCAGGAACTATCACAAAGGTTGTTTGCTCCACCTGCATCAAAATTAGCACAGAAGCATTGGAACTTAAAATCCTACATCTCGACTCGACAGCTCTCTACGGGGTCGTGAAGGGACCAGTTTCAGTACAAACAATCTAACAAACTTTGGTTTTTGCTTGGGAGATAGAAAGGCGAAAGAAAAAAATACCTGGAGCATGGCTGGAGAACGAGACTCGGCCCAATAAGCTTGTCAACGCGCTCCAATGCCTTTCGCCTGGTGTTTCGATCCGGATCGGAGAGGTACTTTAAATCTCTCTGGATCGTCTAGAAAAAAAAGAAAATCACTCCATTACTCAACGCGATCGCTTACCTGGACGAAAGCCGTGGCAGATATGGCTTGATCGATCGCATTCGAGGGAGCGGCATTGCGAAGAGCAAAATACCTGCTAGGTAGACTTTCCCGATGAGAAATCCAAGGACGAGGCCTCTGCCAAGCTCCAGCAACTAAAAAGGATGGAATAAGAGTTTTGAGTTGTTTTACCTCAGGCATTTGGCAATCGAGGGGGACGTCAATGGCGCTGCGGTTTTCTCTGCCTTGCCGAGGATCTCTCTGTCAATGGATTTAGAAGAGGTAGACGCAATTCTTCCTTCTTTCTTTCTTTCTCCATGGACTAGTCAAGATATTCTTTGGAAATACTTTTTCATTACTAACTTCTTGATTTGCTGGTGAACGAGGCTGTGAAAGAGTTCGTGCTACAGTTTCATGGCTTTGGAGTCCCTCAAGAATGGGCTGATCGACTCTTGAAACCTAATATTTAAGTATAAGGCGTCTTTCTTGTTTTTGATATATCTAAAATATAATCAAATGTGTTTAGACACAAAATTAATATTAATCATCACATAAACTGAAGTGTTTAGGAAAGTTTATAAATTACAAATACATAATTTGTCTAAATGAATATATCCTAAAATATTTAAGTTTAATAAATAATAGTAAACAGAAATAAAAAAGGCAGCAACACTCTTCAAAGGCTTGGAACTTGTAAACCCAAACAACATGGTCATCTACGAAACTATGTCTTTTACAGCCATTTCACCAAAGAAATCTTTACAAAATGCCCCAAGCATGGAATTCACAGCAACTAGATTAAAACCTTGGAAGCTTAGTTATCACTATGTTGATCATCTCAAAAGAACCATGTTCAGTATACGTGTTTAAAAGAGTGGTCCTGGAAACAAGATCAAGCTGTGGCATAACACTGACAAAAGACGTGGTTGCCTCAATATCCCCATTCCTTGGAAAAGAGCATGGCTTCCGAGAAGAATGTTTTTTGTTTTTGTTTTTGTTGCATTAATGTCTCCATGAAGAGCGTAACCAGTAAGATAGTGTTGCCAGCAAACGAGGCTGTCTTCTGGCATTCCAAGCACCGAAAGATTCTTGGCATCTTCAAATTCTCCTTGAGATAAACAAATCTTCTACCCAGCTTTGGCGAAAGGATTTAACATTGCATTCCAAGTTGCCGTGTTATGCACTGGAATAGTCTGGAAAAGATGCCAAGCATCTTGCAGATGCCCATTCTGCGCAAACGCAGTCCAAGACACCAGATCTTTAAGTCGGCATCTTCTCTTTGCTACATTGATATTACAATCTCTAGCGAGTGAGATGAGTTTTCTAGTGTAAACAACAGGATTCCTATTAAAGACAAGGATCCATAGCACATTCTCAGGTAGAGTCCCCACTCAACCAAAACTTATCAGCAAACCAAACGAGCACGGATATTCCGTCACTATAACGTACAGCGACATTCTCGGCTATGGCGGATTCAGGAGACCTAATTCAGTGCGGCATGGCGCCAGTGTAGGTCTGGGATTCGCGATGGACGACATCGATCTGGAGCTTGGAGCCGAGGACGAGCACGGAGGATTCGACACGCAGGCGCTCGTCCAGCTCCAGCAGCAGCACGAGCAAATCGAGCGCTCGCTGCATGGCGCGAGCTCCAGCAGCGCATTGTCGCTCCAGGAGGCCGCTCAGCAGGAGCAGCAGGACAAAGGTGAGAGATTCTCCCTCATCAGTTCGATATTTCCAGCGATTTAGAGCTGACACGAGAAATTATTTTGGAAGATCATCAGCAGGGGCAGCAACAGGCTCCCCGGAAGAAGAAAGTGGTGAAGAAATGGAGGGACGAATGGGCCGACACTTACAAATGGGCCTACGTTGCGCTCCAGGAGGGGAGTCCTCGAATTTTTTGCCGCGTTTGCAAGGAGTTTGGCCGCAAGCACAGAAGGAATCCCTATGGGAACGAGGGCAGCCGCAACATGCAAATGAGTGCTCTCGAAGAACACAACAACAGTTTGCTACACAAGGAAGCACTGCGATTGCAAGCAGCGTCTAGAGACAAGGGACATGGAATGCTCGAGCGTCCAGTTTATATCAAAGGTACTCGATTTGTTTCCACTTTGATTGCTTCTCTTATAAGATCACATTGTCTTGCATGGCGAAGCTCTTCTATCACGAACTTCCGAGTCTATAATCGAGGGTGTGGCAAGAAGAGATCCAAATGAAGCAGAGTTCATCCAAGCGGTACACGAAGTTGTGCATACTTTGGAACCTGTTCTTACCAAGTATCCACAGTAAGCTTCAAAAGTGTTTTTGCTTAGAGCTGATTGTTTTTCGGCTGTCAATAGATACGCTCATGTCCTGGAGCGGCTTTTGGAGCCGGAATGTATCATCATTTTCAGAGTTCCGTGGATGGATGACAAAGGTGAAATTCACGTGAACAGAGGATTCAGGGTAAATTTCTGTCAAGCTCTTGGTCCATACAAGGGTGGCTTGAGATTTCATCCGTCTGTGAATTTAAGCATCATCAAGTTTCTGGCTTTTGATCAAGTGAGTGACCAACATTTTCTCTCTCGTAAGCTTTATTGATTCTAATTCCGTGCGGCTGCAGACGTTGAAACATTCATTGACACCGCTCAATCTGGGTGGTGCAAGAGGTGGAAGTGATTTCGATCCCAAAGGGAAGAGTGATAACGAGGTTAGGCTTTTGTATGTTTTAGAATGTGGCCTAAATTCATGGCAGTGTGAAGTTTGTAGGTTCTACGTTTTTGTCAGAGCTTTATGGAAGAGCTTTATCGCCACATCAAGGCTCATCAGGTTGTCATCGTCTTTTTGTGCTCAGAATATTTATTTGACTAAAACTATTTTTTCTAGGACGTGTTTACTGGTGACATTGGTGTCAACTCCAGAGAAGTGGGATATCTTTTCGGCCAGTATCGTCGTCTAACAGGCCATTTTGACGTATGCTTGCTTTGTAATCTGCATTTTCTGTAATCTTTTTTGGCCTCTGGACTGATCTCTGATAACTGCAGCTGTCTTCAGCAGGGTGGGCTAGTCGAAACATTCGAAGCATAGCGACTGCTGCCACGGGTTATGGTCTGGTAAGTAGCTATCTTTTTTACTTTTGTTCTTCGGTGACCTGGTTTGAACGGTTTCAGGTTTATTTTGCGAAGTTTCTTTTGGCTGATCTGAACAAGGATCTAAGGGGCCTAAGGTAAATATTTTGTTTACAAGAGCTTTGAGCTTTAGCGATGTAATCTGCTTTAGGTGCGTTGTAAGCGGATCTGGGAAAGTAGCTATGCACGCATTGGAAAAACTCATCAACTTCGGTGCAGTTCCCGTGACCGTATCAGGTCTAGTCTGCTCTTCAAGATAATAGTAACCGATGTTTGCAATTTTGGCAGACTCTAAGAGCTACTTGCTAGACGACGATGGTTTCGACAATATCAAACTCGCTCTGATAAAAGAAATCAAGTTCCAACGGAAAAGCTTGCGGTACATTCTATTGAGCTCATGTCTAAGCATTCGATTTTCGATCCTGAAACAGGGAGTACACAAAGAGGTACTCGAAAGCACGCTTCTATGAAGACGCGAAACCGTGGGGAGAGAAATGCGATCTCGCGTTTCCTTGCGCGACGCAAAACGAGATCAATCATTCAGATGCTTTGGCGCTGGTCAATGCGGGATGTCAAGTACTCATCGAAGGTAAGGTCTCTTTGGTTGCCTTCTTTCTTTTAACATTGTCTAGTTACTCTTGTCAGGGTCCGACATGCCGTGCACAACGGAGGCTGCGGAGGTGATTCGCAAGGCTGGAATTTTCATTGCGCCTAGCAAAGCTGCGAATGCCGGAGGGGTAATGTTTGTACCTTCCAGGTCACTTTGTTTGACGTGTTCATGTGTTGCGGCAAACCAGGTGGCCATTACGGACCTGGAGGCGATGCAAAACAGCAGCTGCATTCAACTCTCAGCGGAAACAATCGACGCTCAACTCCAGGCACGTCATTCGTTTGTGAAACTTGCGTCTAAACTTGTATCCCTCTTGTGTAGGATTTCGTCAGGACGATGTACCTGAAGTGCCTGGGAGTGGCAAACGAGTATGGATTTCCCAGAGGAGCCCCAGAGTAAGCAAGTTTTCTTCTCTCCTTTGCAACTCATCCTCTCGCTTAGCTCGTTCGTTAACTCTAACCTCTCACAGTTTCTAGCTCAAGCCATTCACGGCTTACTTTCTTTGTTTTGACTAGCAATTCAATCACGGCAAAACTCACGCAGTGTTTTTGGATCAGGTCACTAGTCTACGGTGCAAACATTGCGAGCTTTCTCCGCGTTGCTCAAGCGCTTCTGGAACAAGGCTGTGTGTGACTGCGGGGAAAGGAAGATAGCCTCCATATCCATCCATATATGCTATGTACAGGTGTAAATAGCATTGATCCGGACGAACTAATCGTTCTAAAGAAGAAGAAGAAGAAGAAAAGAAGGAAGAAGAGGAATAACTTTTGATTTTATGTACAAAACAAAATAATAACCTAATGACTCGTGCCACGTGGAACGCACAGAGCGGTTCGATCTGCCACCTCATTGGACGGCCGATGTCCCGCGGAGCTTTTTTGAATTCAAAATCCGTGAAACCTACCAGTCCACAATTCGAACACGGGACCTCAATGCGTGTCCACGCTATAAAGCTGGAAGAAGGGTCTCCTTGCCCTGTTCCTCATTCCTCCTCCTCCAGCTATGGCGTCTCTAGGGCATCAGGGCGGCAGCCGGCTAGGGCTCGCGGGGCTGGCCGTGATGGGCCAGAATCTGGCGCTCAACGTCGCGGAGAAGGGATTCCCCATCTCCGTCTACAACCGGACGGCGAGCAAGGTCGACGACACGGTGGATCGCGCGGCGCGCGAGGGCAATCTCCCGCTCTACGGCTTCAAGGATCCGGGTGAGTTCGTGGCGTCGCTCCAGAAGCCGCGCGTGATCATAATCCTGGTCAAGGCCGGGCGCCCGGTGGACGAGACGATCGAGCTGCTGTCGAGCTTCCTGGAGCCCGGGGATTGCATCATCGATGGGGGGAACGAGTGGTACGAGAATACCGAGCGCCGGGCCGAGGCCGTGCGGCAGAAGGGGCTCTTGTATCTGGGAATGGGGGTCTCTGGCGGCGAAGAGGGCGCTCGCTATGGCCCCTCTCTCATGCCCGGTGGAGCCGTGGAGGCTTTCAAGTACATAGAGGATGTTGTGAAGAAGATCGCTGCTCAGGTGGACGATGGCCCCTGCGTGACTTACGTTGGCCCTGGTGGAGCTGGGAACTTCGTGAAGATGGTTCACAATGGGATCGAGTATGGCGACATGCAGCTCATCTCCGAGGCCTACGACGTGCTCAAGTCCGTGGGTGGCCTCACCAACAAGGAGCTCCACGAGACTTTTGCGCAGTGGAACAAGGGCGAGCTCGAGAGCTTCCTGATCGAGATCACGTCCCACATCTTCTCGGTCAAGGACGACAAGGGCGATGGCGAGCTCGTGGACAAGGTCCTGGACAAGACGGGCATGAAAGGCACCGGGAAGTGGACCGTCCAGCAGGCCGCGGAGCTCTCGGTGGCGGCTCCCACGATCGAGGCGTCGCTCGACTCGAGGTTCCTGAGCGGCCTCAAGGAGGAGAGAGTGGCGGCGGCCAAGAACTTCAAGGAGCTCGGGGTGTCGGACATCTTGGCTCCCAGCAACGTCGACAAGAAGGAGCTCATCGACGGCGTCCGGAAGGCGCTGTACGCGTCCAAGATCTGCAGCTACGCCCAAGGCATGAACTTGATCCGGGCCAAGAGCATGGAGAAGAGCTGGAACCTCAACTTGGGCGAGCTGGCTCGGATCTGGAAGGGGGGCTGCATCATCCGGGCGGTGTTCCTGGACCGGATCAAAAAGGCCTACGACCGCAACCCGGATCTGGCTAATCTGCTCATGGATCCCGAGTTTGCGACCGAGATGGTGGAGCGGCAGGGCGCCTGGAGGAAAGTGGTGACGCTGGCGATCAATGCCGGGATCAGCACCCCGGGGATGAGCGCGAGCTTGGCCTACTTCGACACGTACAGGCGCTCGCGACTGCCCGCGAATCTCGTCCAGGCGCAGCGCGATTATTTTGGAGCTCACACCTACGAGCGAGTGGATCAAAGCGGGTGGTTTCACAGCGAGTGGCACAAGCTCGCGTCGGCCTTGTGAGGGAGGAGCCGTGAACACGCTCTTTTGCGTCGGTTGTGGATGGATAAAAGGCCATGCCTCTTTTCTTTATACTTTTTGATTATTTGGATGGACTAACTTAAAAAGGTAATAAACCAAGTACCATGCCATCTTCGGCACCCTTGTGATACATTGTCGTGAACAATGCAACGGACAAAGTCTTTCAACTTTCCTTCCCATAAAAATGCCTCGTTCCTCGGACAGGTCCCAATTGACCTTTGTTAGCTCCCATTCTCGACTCCACAATGTCTGCTAGCCGGTCAAGTTTCGTTTCTAGCCGGTCGATGCTGTACATATAGAACGGCATACTTAAAAGGAAGATTATCGAGCGGAGGTGGCATACCTTGGCTGCCATGTGGAGGATCGTCTCCTTCGCGGTCTGGTTAAGGAATGAAATAGGGCAATGTTAAGTATTCTAAAGCAAACCAAAGAAAATTCTTTAACATGGCAATTGCTGGGCAAAATGCACGATTGATGATGGCTCAGGGATAAGGGCATGGTGTACAACCTTGACAGCCTTTGGGAATCATCACTGGCGTGAAGAAGCCGGCATCGTTGTGGATGTTGTTGTCTTGTGATGTCCCTTGGCGAGTTGACATACCCTTTGCTCTTGAGTCCGAGAGCTAAGGAGCTTGTGGGAGTGAAGTAGTGGAAAGAATTTTCTCTTGTGTTTAATACTTTCGCTCCTCACAGTCATCGGTAGTCAATCTTGGTCAGTCTGTCAATATTATTCCATCTCTTCTTCCTGCAGCAACAAGTATAGCCTGGGCATGGCGGGGAAATGCGAAGCTGTGCACGACCAGGCGTCCCGGGGCTACTGTCACAAACGAAATGCAGCACAGGCCTCAAATAAACCTTGCACGTCGGTGGTAGAATCCTGTTTTAGAGTACTTGGATCCGAAGAAAACATGATACACACGACTAGTTTAGTTGTCCTTCACTTCTGCAAGAACAAGCATTCGATGAGACGAGGAAGTCTTACTCCTCCATTGCACAACCCGCTTCACCGCCGCCTACCTGCGAGAACAAGCATTCAATGAGAAAGAAAAATACATTGAAAAACCGAATCCTTACTCTTCCATTGCACGAACTTCTCCCGCTTCACCACCGCCGGCAGCTTCCTTGACATCGATGGTCACGTCGTACTCCTGATCGCAACCGAGGTATGCGTCACACATGAAGTAGAGCTTATAGTTCTTGACACCCGCCTCCTGCGGAGTGAACTCCAGCTTGCACTTGTTCCTCCGCTGCAGTGTCACCCTCTTGATCGCCAGCAGCACATTGTTCGCAGTGTCGCCGAGAACTAGCCACCACCCCTCTTCCCTCGTCTTTGCAAGCCTGGGAGCCTCCACGATTCCAACCTCCTCGTTTCCTTCCACTTCCCTCTCCAGCGTCACCTGAACAGCAACTGGCTCTCCCACGGTCGCCTCTGCCTCGTCCAGCACCTCGAAAGCCATATCGATGTTTGGAAACCGGTTGCACGTCCGAGCGATTGCTAGCAGCTGCGAGTCGTCCATTCCCAGCAGCTCCCGCCTTTCCCCGTCTTCCATCTCGAGCAGATCAAACACCGTCTCCACGTTCCTCTCCTTGCACTTCTTCGCTAGATCCTTGGTGAAGTGCGGGAGCTGCAGGAGCACCGAGTCTCGCTCCCACAGTCCCTGCGTTACCATCTGACTTATCTCCATGGCTGCAAGCGCCGGGTTGAGCCAAGCGTTGCTGGCTATCACGTCGACCATGGCCTGGAGAAGCTTGATTGCCTGGAGCAGCACCTCACGCTGGTCCATAGCCAGATTACCCGGGACGGGATGCCTGGAGAAGTGAGCTTGCAACAGCGCGTTGGCCTTGAGGTGTGGATCCGAGTACTTCGGCTTGTCAACCGAGAAGCGCTGGTGGTTGACAAGCTTTCGGACGATATCCTCCTCGCCAGGTCTCACGGGAAGAGTAGCGTACTCGGACGCAGAAGCCAGGATCTCCAGCAAGCCTTTCATCTTCGTCTTTGCAGTCAGAGAGTTGCTGAAGAGCTCAATGGTAGTGTATCGTATGTAGTAGTAGGACGCGATCATTCCCAAGTTGAGTGGCGAGAGCTCCATATCGTCCTCCACTGCGATACACTTGCTGGACTCCAGATCGTTGAGAGTCGACTCTACCAGCTCGGAGAGATGATCCGAAAGGTGCCGATGGCTCACGCCCTGAAGGTTGTAGTAGTTTGGATTCTGAGTCAGCCTCCGGTACATGAGCGTCCATGTCAAGTAGTCCACTGCATCCTGCTTGTTCTCGATGGTATGCACCACTATCTCTGCGTTGAGATGGTCGTGGATGTAGTGATCCAAGTGGCTCTCCACGGGGAAAGGCTCGTACAGGAACTTCTTGTAATACTCCTTACGAGGAGCATGGCATAAGATGACACACTTGCCAGAGCTGTCCACCAGAGGCCTGCTTGCACGCCCCATCATCTGCAGAAGATCCGTAATAGGATAGTCTGTGTGAGCGTTCTCTCTGCCGTCGTAGTACTGCGTCCCCATGACCACCAAGAGGTGCGCAGTAAGTGTCATCCCCCAGCACATAGAGCTGCTTGCAACGCACACCTGAATGGCTCCGGCACTGAAGAGTTCCCCAACTATCTCTTGCTCGGTTGGAGACAAGCCTTCGTGGAGATATCCGACACCACCTTGCAGAGTCTCCTTGAGCTCGGGATCCCTTATCCGCTCCAGGAGGGGCTCCAAATCCTTCTCAGTGCACTGCAAGAAGCTGTTCCCGCCGGCCAGCGCGTAGAGAACGAGGTCGGAAGCAGTAGAGCGTGCATGCTTCCTCGTAGGAACAAAAACCAAGGCCGGTTTTCCACCCTTAGCATGCTGGAGAATGGCTGTGAAAGTTGGCTTCGTCATCGCTTGAACCCGAGCTTCAAAGTTCGTGATGTCGACTCCCTGAATGTGGATCTCGAGTGGAACTGGTCGCACAGCCGGAGAGAAGTTGAAAAGTCCGTGGGAGCTGGCTCCGATCCAGTCACCCAGGTCCTTGGCATTAGCCAGTGACGCCGACAGTGCGACTATCCGGATCTTGTCTCCTGCTTGCTTCGAGATATAACGCATTCTAGAAACAATAACTTCCAGAACCGGACCACCTTCGCCACCGATCAAGTGAAGCTCATCTACCAGGAAGAGATTAACCTGTCCGATCTGCTTCCGCTGCTTCCACCTTCGTGACAACACATCCCACCTCTCTGGTGTGCTGATAATCACCTGGCCTCTGTCCAAAAGCTTCAAGTCCATAGCAGTTTCCCCTGTCAGCTGCACCACTTGAACTTTCAAGTCGGCGAACTTCTTTTCCCAGTCCTCAAACCGCTCCTTCGCAAGAGCTTCTTTCGGAGCAATGTAGACACATTTACCACCTCCTGTGTCCGCGTTCTTTTGCAGCATGCGTAGCACGGCAAACTCTCCACAGATAGTTTTTCCGCTTCCTGTTGGCGCTGCAACAAGAACGTTGTCATCTGTGTTGTAGAGAACCGTGAACACCTGGGTCTGAATAGGATTGAAGTGCTTGAACTGCTGGTAGAGAGCTTCAAAAGAAGGCTCCCGCAAAGCTGTGACCGGAAGAGGCTGCAGGTCCAGAAGCTCCGTTGGAGGTGGATACTTCTCGGGCAGAATCAAGTGCCTGAAAGAAACCGGAAGCACAGTTTCCGCTTTCAGCCACCTGTCCGAGATGACACGGATAAAATACTGCGGCGGCATCGGCTCAAAAATCGGAACTGTGAAGCTCAGGTTGTGGTCATCCTCCACGTACTGCATCTTGAGTAGGAAATACTCGTGGTGAAGTATGGTCTCGCCATCATTATCCTCCACGATGACCCAAAATGGCTCCACAAAGCCATGAATCTTCTCGTCCCACTGAAAGTCCGGTGTGATGGTCAGGTCCACCTTGAGCACGGACCTTGTGATGGGTTGAACATGTGCGCTCAGCTCCAGCTTTGGAAACTGATGAACGAACTTGTGGATCATCTTTCCAAGTTTCGGAATGCGGATAAGCTCTCCGATCTCCTGCGATGTCAGATCATAATACCGCTCCCACGCATAATCCTTCTTCTCAATCTTGGTGAGAACATCGATTGGAATGCCTTTGAACTGCCGCAACGGTGTCTGCGTGCTCCACATTCTCCTCTGGACCATTTTGCAAAGGTTGAGAGCCTTTTCAGCCAGTTGAGCCCAGCCCCGCTTCAAAACAATCTCAAACAATGCGCGCATCAACCGTCCGGCACTCTGCAAAACCATGCGCACGTTAGTTTGAAGTAAAGTCAAGTCCAATTCTCTTACCTGTGTTATGAACGTCATATCTGTGAAGAGAGAGAAGCCTTCAAGCTTCAGCTGCGATATGTAGGCTTGAAGCAGTACGTTGATCTTGGCGGACGGCTCCTCCAGACTCTCCTTGACAGGTACTGGAACTCTGTCCAATAACTTGGCGAGCTCAAGTTTTTCTTCCTCCCTGACCCCAACATTCTTGAACTCTTCGCTTTGTGAAAACAACCGGCACAGTTCGATCTCTCCCATCGTTGGCTTTAGGTGCTCATTGTACGTGGCCATTGTACCGTGGCTGATATAGTAATGGCTAGCAATTCGGCCAAGGTCCGTCACCTGGAAATAGCCACTCTTTCGATCATATTTCACCAGATTGTTCTTGTCCAGAATTGTTGCCGCAGTATGAATCTACAAAAACAAGGTTAAGTAACGTTTTCAGATTTTCTATTACTAAAAGTGCTTACCAAGTCCGCCCTCCTCTCCTCCAATGTTTCGTCAGTCTCGAGTACTTCTGGGTTGACGCCATAAAGCAGTGGGTTCCGCAGCATCCGGATATACAAGTACGTGTAGCCAAGCCACGCACAAGCCTCCCTCGCATTTTGCACGGTCCCAAGCACAATCTCGGCGTTGAGGTTGTCCGGCAGCTTGGAGATGAACTGACTTTCGATTGGAAGCTGCTGGTTCATCAGTGAAAGATAATACGAGAGCTCGCTATGGCCAGTGATGATAATGCCTTCGCCAGTGCTATCAAACTGAGGCCGTCCAGCACGCCCAAGCATTTGCATCACGTCCATGGGACTTAGCTCCGTCCAAGCACCTTTCTCGGGATTGTACACCTGAGTCCCTTTGATGATAACGGTATGGGCCGGAAGATTTACTCCCCAAGCTAGAGTCGCAGTCGAAACCAGCACCTGGATATGCCCATCTGCGAAAAGTTCCTCCACAAGAGTTCTGTCGGCTCTCGCCATTCCAGCGTGGTGAATGGCAAAACCGTACGACAGAAGGCCTTTCAAGTCCGTGTTCTTCACGTTCTCCGCCTCGGTCCGCAGGATCTCACTACTAGCGCTGTCTCCCTTCAAGAATTTCCCTAGAGTATCATTTGTGAGCGCCGAGTCCCGTATAGCTTTTGCTGTCTTTGCCGTCTCCTTCCGAGAGTGCACAAAGATGAGAATCTGGCTCTTTCCCGCAACAGCCAACACCTTCTCGTAGCAAATCTCGTTCATGAGCTGGAACCTTTGAAGCGGCTTCTTCACGGATATCCCAACGTACTGCTGACTCAAAGGGACCGGCCGGAAGCTGTTGTCGAAGTGAAACAGGCCCCTCGACTTGTCCACCCTCAGGAACATGGACACGTCCACGTAATTCGGCAGTGTCGCGGATAAGCCCACCAGCCTGATCATATCGTGCGTTGTTTCAACCTGGCGAAGTGTTCGAGCCACAATACTCTCCAGAACTGGACCACGGCCATCGTGCAGCAGATGAATTTCGTCGATGATAACCAGCTTGACAAGTTGAGTGTAAGCCCTGTCGCCTGATTTTCGGGTGATGATATCCCACTTCTCCGGAGTCGCTACGATGATGTGCGTCTCTTCAATTTGCTGCCGAGAAAGCGACTGATCTCCAGTGAGCTCCTTCACTACAACACCATAGTCCGCCAGTCTCTTCTGAAGATTCCCAACCATCTCAGCGACCAAAGCCTTCATCGGAGCAATATAGACGATCTTTGTGTGACTGAGATCAAAAGTACCATCCGACTCCTGCTTCGAACCAAGCTCTTGAAGAATGGTGAGCAACGCAACGTTGGTCTTGCCAGCGCCTGTTGGTGCGCAAAGGAGAATATTTTCCTGAGTAAAGAGAGCCGTCTCATAAACTCTGCTCTGGATGCGATTCAACGTCTTCATCTCCTTGAATGCAGGCTGAGCCCAAGACGGCAAGTCCGATATCTTCACCAGCTCTTCACCTTCCTCCATTGGCTTCACCTTCATGGCAGGAACATGAACTTCCTCGTATCCTTTCTTCATCGTCCTGTAAGTGCCCTCCGGAAGCTCGCACTTTTTGTTGGCCATGAACAGGCCCTCCTTCTCAAACGCCAGGTCTTTCAAGTCGAGAAATTGCCGCTGGCCTTGCCATCCTCCTTCCAAGACGACCTCCCTCTCCGGCCTTCGATCCTTTTCTCCGTCACCACCTTCTTCACGGAGTTTCCTCGCTTCCTCACGGATACTACGCTCCAGATTCTTTTGCCGCTCCTGCAAAGGCTCGATCTCGTTAGATAAGAAAGGAACAAGAATATGTAAATACATTACCTTCGCAGTCGCTCGAGTAGCGTGGAGCTGCTCCAGAATTCCCGACAAAACCGGACCTCCCTCCGTCATCTCATCTTCAATCCTTTTCCTCTCTTTATCGTCCTGCGATCGGGCCAGCCGAGTGCACCAGACAATCTTCCACCTGTTCTTGAGGAGCAACTTAATGAGCCCAAACTTGTCATAGTCCAGGAGCATGACGAGCCTGTTCTCCACGTCCCTCTCATCGCCCTCTCCAAGAGTTTGCAGAACCTCCTCGGCAAGCTTCTGGCTGTGCTGAGGCTCAATCTCCTCGTACGCCTGAGTGATCTTCCGCTGGAGCCAGTACGCATCGATATCCTGGACGTTGAGTCCTTCGTCCGCCTCCTCCATGTCCTCGTCATCGAGGCCTCCCATTTGCATTGCTGATGCCTCGTTCGTCTCCTGACCATCTTCCTCGTTCTCACTCTCCTCCTGGACTTCGTCAACATCGCTCTCCTCTTCCTCGTCCTCCTCCTCGAACTCCACAGCCACGCCGATATCATCATCCAGAGCCTCCCCGGCAGCACCGCCAGCGTCACCACCATCGTAGAAGTCGACAATGATCTTCCCGATATTCACGAGCTGGTTGAATCGCTCCTGGCTAAGCTCGTTGAGCAGCTTCTCCAGCTCCTTCTTCTTGTCAGAGTCTTTCATCTTGTCATTCTTGAGCACCACTAGCACTTCGTCCGCCGCTCCACGCAGCACGTCCTGTGGCTGGTCCCCAAACTGCTGCTGGATCGTGCTGAGCAGTGCCTCGTATGCCGCCCGCGTCTCTTTCGTCTTTGGGCGATAAGTTCCCTCTTCTTGCAGCGACAAAACACTCTCCTCCTGTGACCCCTTTGATCGCTTGCTGGGCCGCCGCAGCACATCGTCCTGATTCTCCTTCTCCTTGCGCTTGCTGGCCTTGGCCTTCTTCTCGAGGAGCTCCGGCGGCTTGCCGTGATCTACTCTATCCCCAAACCGCCGAGGATCTATCCTACCCCAGAGGCTCTCCGGCTCACCTGTGGGCTCGTGAGTGTCGCGCGGCCGTGTGTCGGTCGTCAGCACCAGACTGGAGTTGGCGCGGTACTCGTACTGCTTGAACCGGGCGTGCGCCTCAGCACCGCCTCCCAAGTGCGCCATAGCTTCTGCCCTAGTTCCCAAAGCCCTAAATCGGATATTTGTGTGAATATTCTCTGGTGAGATAAATCTTTGTTAAGTAGGAGTTTTATCAATGCTGGTTGACACCACTATTAAAATCTAACCTCATCCCTGTGCCAATTAATCTTTGCTGTACACTAACATCATTATACATGCTCATTTTATGCCTGGGAAATCATGAACAATGCAAAAATTTATTATTAACCAAGAAGAAATATTAAAACAAAATCCATAAAACAAACATGGACCCCTGGAAGTTGCCAAAAACTCTCTTTTGTTTAAATCTCGAAAAAGTTCTCCAACCGTGCCAATGCTTACCTTTATTAAGCTTCTGCATATCAGGACTCATTTGGTCGTCAATGAGTCTATGTATTATATAATCAACCCTGTCCTCTTCAGGTTTGGCATAGATTCTGCCACAAGCACGCTCAATAGCCTATCCAGTCTTGCATGGTAGTCTAAAATGTATAGCTGGCCTTCCACCTAGTTCCTAAGCCCTAGATCCTGATATCTTATTCTATTCTGCCCTCAAGAAAAAAAATTAAATTTAAGGAATCTTATTGTTCAGATCAGGGGGCTCATCGTCTTCCTCCTCTTCCTCCTTTCTTCTTCCTTAGTTTTCAACATGGTATCAGAGATCAGGGATTAAATCCTGGGCTGAATGTGTAATCTTTAGGATTTTAAATATATAGCTTTGTTTATGATTCACTAAATGATGCCAAATGGGTAGCACAGCAGCACTGTTGTTGCCTCTTACAGCAATGAAAGAAAAAAAAGGAGGTGCAAAAGACGTGCATATTTATGGTACTGGGTATTGGAGATACATTCAGCTGTATTTTTTGTTCATATTATCATGGTTCAATTTAGGGTGGATGAATTGTCTATGTCAATGTGAATTCTGTACTCAATGATGGAACTCTCTTGTTGGAGCGTCGCAAGGAGAGCATCACGGTATGGTATAAGGTCAGCATCGCACCCGTTGGAATAGGACACGTCCGGATGAGAATAAGAACCAACCTCCCTTCACATATATCCTCGTCAACAACTCTCATTCATTAACTGTGCGCTATGGCCGGTACATAGTCCCTATTGTGTAGAACACTCTAGCGGCGCCGCTAGGAGACTTATAGAGACTAGCGGCGCCGCTCCCGCCTAGCGTCGCCGCTGTCCACAAAATTCACGGTGGAGGATTTAATATTTTGGGTTTTGGAGCAAGAACCGGGCAAGATCACGAGCGCCTTGCCTGGGAGCCTCTCCGGATCCCGCATTGCGGCAATCGAATCGGCAGATCGGGCGAGCGGGCGCCCGGCAATGTCAGGGATGAAAGCCGATCGTGTCAGCTACACGGAGGTGTGATTTCTCGGCCAGGACGAGCTCTAATCCGGATCTTTCTCCCTTTCTGTGCAGGAATTCATCTACAATTCCAGAGGCACGAGGCTTTTCACTTGCCGATGGATCCCGCTGCGCCAGGATGTCAAGGGATTGGTCTTTCTTTGCCACGGTAACGCGAAATATTTCCTGTTCTACCGAGATCTTCCTTGAAATATGCGTTCTTGGATCGCTCTTTGTGCTCCTAGGATATGGAATGGAATGCAGCCGATTCATGAAAGGTATCGAGGCATTGATCGCTAGAGGTCGGCAGTGATAAATTCTCATCTTTATCCAGGAACTGGACAACGCCTGTCAAGAGCTGGATACGCGGTGTTTGGAATCGACTATGAAGGCCATGGAAGATCTGAGGGGCGGAGATGTTACATTCGCAGCTTCGACGATCTCGTGGACGATTGCATCGTGTTCTTTAAGAACGTCCGAGGTGAGAAACCTCCATGGAATTGTTATTTCATCGTCAACACTTTTGGATCCCATAGAATGGCCGGAGTATAGAAGGAAGCCATGCTTTCTTTACGGCGAGTCCATGGGAGGCGCTGTGGCGCTCCTCGTCCAGAAGAAGACTCCAGGCGAATGGAACGGGGCAATCCTGGTGGCTCCAATGTGCAAGGTATAAACAAAACAAAGCTCGTGATTTTCTCCAAAGTTTACACTATCTTTGTCGCAGATATCAAAGAATATGAAGCCGCATCCACTGCTAATTCGCGTCCTCGTGAAGCTGGCCCGCACGATCCCGACTTGGAAGGTCGTCCCCATCAAAGACGTGATCGGCCAAGCCTTTAAAGATCCTGTGAAACGAGAGGAGGTAAGAGATACTCATCTCTCTCAAGCTTTTCTCTTTTCCTTCGCTTACGACTTGCAAGCGATCGAACTATAACTCGTCCACCTAACGTCATGAGCTTGTTTTCCAGATCCGAGACAACCCTTACGTCTATCAAGGCCGCCCACGATTGCGGACAGCGGTGGAGATGCTCTACACAAGTCTCAATCTTGAATGTCAGCTCCATGAGGTACGACCACCTTCCAAGCTTTTCTTAAATCGCATCGTATCGCTGGCGAGCTTTCTCTTTTCTAGGTGAAGCTCCCATTTCTCGTGCTCCACGGAGAGAACGACGTCGTCACGGACCCGGCCATCAGCCAGGAGCTCTACGACTCGGCCGGGAGCCTGGACAAAGCCATCAAGATCTACCCCGGTATGTGGCACGGCCTCACGTCCGGAGAGCCCGACGAGAACATCGACATGGTCTTCGAGGACATAGTAACGTGGCTCGACATGAGGTGCCCCCCCGGAAGCCTGGCAGCCAGTCCCATACGATTCTCGGACATCCAGACGCGACGAGCAATGCTGGCTTGCAGCAGCCCGCTGAGGCTGGAGGACGCTCACACCAGGCAGCCGGGCATGGTTGGATCGCTGCGGCATAGGCATCTCACCGGCCAGACCAACGGAGCGTCCAGCGTCCCCGCCAGCCCGATGAGACTCTTCGACTTCCGGAAGAGAGGCCTGGCGTCCTCGCCGAGCGTTCCCGCCAGAGACTCGGAGCTCAAGTGCTTGCGGTGGATGGATCACAAAGGAAGCGACTCTTGCGCTCGCGGTGCTGCAAGACACGACAACGCGGGTCACCGGCTTCCACCGGTGATGATCAGATAGCAAAGCTCGCAAGGGCATAAAAATAAGAAGAAGACGCGAGAATTCAAGTGAGAGGTACTCCTTTATTTCTTTTTGGGACGTTTACGTTTCCTCTTGCGTTTCTCTTTCTCTCCTCCTAGATTCCCAGGCACTGCCACTCTTGTGTGGTCCTGTGTGGCATCTTGGACAGTGGATCCACGGGTGGTGGTGGCGTTATGCTGTTCCATTTTCCTTTTGTTCTGTGTCGACTGAGAGACAGAAAATGTACGCCAGATGAGAGAGCGTTTTTTCGATCGATACAAATACTTACCGGTCGCGTCGCAGTCTGATGGTGTGTTTGTACGGGGTTTGAGTTTGATTGTGTCGCTGTGCTAGTGTTTGGTAAACTGCTAAACTCCTTGTCAGCCAAGAAAAAACCAAAAGAGAGGACAATCCAAATCCAAAACACTAGATTACCTGATGGGATTCTCTTGCTCCTCGTCATTGCCATCGTCGCTGTTTTCTTTCGCAAAGAAGTCATCCTCGCTCATGTCCACCGCGGAGTCATTCTCCTCCTCGCTACCAGTCTCTGAAAGAAATGGTTTCTTGTTAGCGGAGAGAGAGAGAGAGAGAGAGAGAGAGATTCTTGGTAGCAAAGAAGGAATCTAAGGAAGCTCATACCTTCTTCCTCGAGCTCCACACCAGCGGCGGCGGCTGCCGCAATATTAGCATGGATCGTCTCTCGCAACTTCTCCCGACGAGCAATCGCGTGTGAGTCGGCGTTCTCCATGAACAAAGAGACGTACTTCTCGCTCTTTGGGAAGAACTGCTCAAGAAAAGTGGCAGGATTTCAGGAGAAAAGATTGAAATGGCACTAACCTTGATGTATTCCAGGTCTTGCTTTAGTTGCTGGAGCTTGGCAGCGGCCTCGTCCTTGGATTTCTCATCGGGAGCGTTCTTAAGTTCCTTCTCGGCACGCCTCAATCCCCTCTCGACCTTTCTTCGCTCTACCTTAGGCACATTGGAACAACAACGCTCGTGTGATTGGATCGATCGCGCAAGCTAGAAAACTCACCGACGAATTTCACTTGCTTGTAGCGTTTGGAGATGTTGCGATCCACTTTGACGCGGGAGGGCTGCAGCCCTGGATTGTGATTGTCCTTGAGCTGCTTCAAGCGGCTCTCCTGGGCCTGCCGCACTTCCTGCGAGAGATTCTGCGAGACAGAGAGGGGAGGAGAAATCCTCGGTGGCTGCGAGCAATCCAAGCACAATACCAGCTTCAGCAGGCGCTGAATGTCGCGAATCTGCCTGCCCAGCGACGCTTGCTTCCTCGCCCGCTCCAATCCATTCTTCTTCAAGGGCTTGGACCGCACATCCAATCGCCTATTTGCGCCACGATCTGGCGCCATCGCTGTGACAAATGGGAGCGCGATCGATCTAAAACCCTACATTAGAGCCCTAGATCATTTGCTCCATCCACTTTGTCAGCCGCCGGATCAACCCACATCCAACGGCTATTGTCTCGTGACACATGGCAAATTCAAGGCCGAATTTTAGGGTTCTTGGGGAAAATCATGAGCGAGGAGGGAGAGGGAGATCTCCGCGCGCTCTTGCTGCTGGTGATTCACGCAAGGATTTTGTAGAAACAGGCGAGCGATTCTAGAGTTTCTAGCATTTAGATCAGGATGAGGAAGGCAGCAGGGGATGCTCTGAAGCAGGCTTTCATGTCGAGGGAGGATTACGAGAGCCTGCCCGTGGGAAACAAAGTGTGGGACAACCTGGCGAGGCCAGTGCTCCTGTGGGCGACGATTGTTCTAGGAACCGCGGTGTTTGTCGCTGGGGTCGCCATGACCGCGATGGTTTTCGAGGTAGGGCAGTGGCATTCGTGCTCCAGGAAACGTTTGACGCCATTGCCAGCAGCCTCGCTCGGTGAATCGCGCGCCGCCTATCTCCTCACCCAGGAGGAGGCCAGGATCTACTTCTGGATGGTCATCTTTCTCCCTACCGCGGCTTTCTTCGCGGTGGCCGTGGTGTATCTAGCATCTGGTAAGCTTGCAAAAGTTCTTTGGATCCCATTGATGGTTTTTTTCTCGCCAGGAATCGTGGTGGCTTACGCAGCTCCAAAGCGGCATTTCATGGTGAGAGTCGTGGAGAACAGCTGCTGCGCTTCCAAGCGAGGTAACCTCTCCTTTGAAGTTCTTGCTAGCTCTTGATCAAGCTCCCCCAGGAGGCGTGCGCTGCCTGTCCACTCTCAACTTGAGCTTCATGGTGGCCGCCATCCTCATGGCGCTCTTCCTGGGCTCCAGCATCGTCACCCTCGACACGGGCTGCTCGATCGCCCTCTTCTGGTGCTACGAGGTGGTGTGCTGGGGGCTGGTTCTCCTGTTTGGGATCACGGCCTTCTTCTTGCACCGAAAGGCGGCGGTGGTGATGGACGAGGGCCAGCACTTTGGCAGCCGGACGGTGGGCATGGAGATGCTCGCGGCCAGCGCGGTGCCGCCTTATGAGATGGAGAGGAGAGTGAACGCCGGGTTCCGGAGCTGGATGGGATCGTCGTCGGTGCTGTCTTCGTCGGACGAGGGCGAGGTGGACGAGATATTCGGGGAGAGTTTTGGGCTGGACGACGACGATGTATGGGACGAAGAAAGAGGGGTCATGCACGTCCGCAGCAACAATGATATTACCAGGGGGTGATATCAAAAGTTTGCAGATCTTTATCATGTGTACATTTTGTTGATTGGAAGTCTTTTTGACAGACTTTTCCTCTTTTGTGTCCAACGTTTTTGGAAAAAGCGCTAGTTCTGGAATCCCAAAGTTTATCGACTTACTATTTTTTATTTTTTATTTTTTTCTGTGTTTTCTACTTTTATGTACTAATGAAATAAGGATTAACCAAGGAAAATACCCAAACTAAGTGGCCACAAAAGTTAGTTAAGCAATCTTTTTTAGCTAATCTATTTGGGCTTGACATAAGTTAATTGTGAGATAATAAAATTTAGTCTAATTAAATAATTTATTATATAAAAACATGAAAATTGTTGTTTAAAAATAATTTACTGCATATTTTGGGTTACTTAACTGGTTCAAACGGCCAGGAGTGAATTGATCAAGTGGAAGTTATAATTTCTAAATATAAGATTAATCAACTATTAAATAGTAAAATAAACTAGAATATAGGATGTGTGAGTGTTTGGAATATAAGAATAATTATATTAATTGAGGTTTAAATGTGCTTATTTATAAAAATGGATGGACCAAATTTAGTTCCCCAAATAAATGGTTCATATGTTATAGTACTATAATTAATATATTACCTAGCCAAAGTAATATATATTATATACATATATTTACAAACTTTACACCATCTTTCCCTCTGAAAGATGAAAAGGTGATGATAATAAGTTAAATGGAACATTTGAAGTTTCTATTAAGTAATTATAAATTATCACAAAAATTTAAAACTCCTATAAAACCATCAACAAAGTTGTTAATAACTATGATTGAAACAAAATCCAAAGTTATAACACAAGTATTAACTGACTATATAATTCCAATAAATTAGTTGCAACTCAATATGCAACTACTAAATGCTTAAACCAACTATAAAGCTATAACTTTGAACTGAAACAAAAGACTTTGAGAGCCATTATAATTTATAAATCACCATTGTAGCAAATAATACATCCCATCTCTAAATTTGCCTATCAATGATCCTTCAAAGACCACCATTAATTCAGACTTATGACTATAACTAGAACTTGCTTTTGCATCTTCCCTTTGGTCAATATTTGAGACCCATATTAACTTAAACTCATTATTTTTGTCTTTATTTAGCACTATATATAAGAGGTCGGATTGTTTTCCACATCCTCCTTATTGCCTTTTTGAAGGAATTTTTTTTTGAAGCCTATTCAAACTTGTTATATTTGTCTTCACTCTACCATCTTTTTTGGGCCTCACTTCACTATTACATTTGTTTGGGTTTATTACATTAAGGCTGAATATGCCATTCAGACTTTCTATATTCGTCTTCACTCCACAATCTATATTGTTTGTCTTTGCTCCATTACTATATTCATTTATCCTTACTCTATTATTAAGGCCAGACTCACATCCATCCCCTCTCAACCCTCCTTTGAAGAAAAAAACGCTTAAAGTATTAAAGCAAAAAAGAGAAAACAAGAAAAGGGGAGGAAAAAATATTGTGAAAGAAAAAAATGGATAAAAAAGCATTTGAAGAAGAATTTTCAACAATTATCAAAGTAAAAATGAGGAGAAAAGAAAGAAACATGTTCAAAACTTGGAGAATAAAAGATTTATTATGATAAAATGCTTTGTTTAACATAAGATAAGCAAAAAATTCACATTGCTCAACCTCTTCAATACACAACTCAACATTTAAGACATGAAAACCAATAGAAAAGTCCACACTCTCAAAATAACCCTCAATGATAAAATAAAAGCTCTTACACTCACTCAACTTGAAACTTTAACCAAAGTGACTCAACTTTTAGAATAAAGAATATTTAATACTAGAATTGATCAAAAACTCTGCTAAATAAACAAAAGTAAGATTTTTAACTTCATGTAGATACTCAACATCTAAATTAGTATAAGAAGGATAAAAAACACTCAGCTCAACACTAGATTGAGAATAAAAATCATAAGAGTCAGAAATGATTGATATACCAAGAGAAGGAAATGTTGTAAACAAGGAATACTAAAAATATGAGAAAGTGGTTTAAACCAAGAAATAAGAAAAGGTTGGGAAAGAGTAGAAAATAAAGAGAAAAGATCAAATGACAAATTAAAGGATGACAGTTATCCTGTGAATCTTTAAAGCTTTCTTTATAATAATCAAGTTCCTCATCACTATTCAAAATCCATTTGAGCTCGTAAACATTATTTTCCCATAAATTTGATCCTTGAACATTCTCCAAAAATTGGATTGTGTCATCTATAGCTCACCAATCAATATCACAATTATGCTCTATATTAACAGAAGATGGCAAAACACCGAGAATAAGACAAGTTATATAATCATATCCCATAGAAGTTGGAAATGGCAACACAACTAAAGATAAGTGCAACATTAATATGATGACACCCCACAATACCAA